CCTTTACCTTGTTTATTTAGCATAAGGGGAACAATTAAACTTCATTTTTTTCATTGACTTTATGTAAGACTTTCTCAAAATGTAATAGTGATAAATGAGTTCAGAGCTAATGACATATTTATGAGCTCTTAAAGGGAAATGAACTATTACAAAGAAACACTGCTGTAGACATTTCAATCAATTTTACTCGATAGGAAATATATTCAATATCTTGATAAATGTTGCAGCTAGCTTTGCATCTTCTTTCAGCATCAGCATTTCTATAACAAGACTTGAGGCCAGCAGGTAGTGTGGTAGTTAAGGCACTGGATCCCACATGGCCAACTCTGCTGTTTGAGTCCCAGACCCAGAGGCCTGATAACATGTGGGGCACATGTGTGTGCATTCCCAAATTCCTGAGAGGAGAATGTAAAAGAAGGGATTGCAGCATGACCATCTGCCCTGAAGGGTAATTTCTCAATTTTCTTCTCTTTCTCTCTCTCTCAGTCTCTGGCAAGAACATATGGCACAAACACCCTATAGCATAAAATTCTTAACAAAACAAAAAGGAAAGCAAGACTATTTTTAAACATTTTTCTTTTTGTTTGTTTACTTAGATATGCTGTCTTACATTTTATTTTAAAATATAATTTTAATTGACATATAATAGTTGTAAGAATATGGCAGTAGAGTGTGATTTTTCAATATATGTATATGATGCATTATGATCAAATGGGGCACTAAGCATATCTACCATCTCAAACATTTATCATCATTTTGTGTGGTAAACAGCCCAGATCCCCTCTTTGAAGGATTTTGAGGTATGCATTGAGTTGTCACCAACTATAGTCACTCCGCTATACAATAGCACTCTAAAACTCATTCCATTTATATTCTTGCGCTCTTGTTATCTTAAATATTTGTTACAAAATCAAATGTTTTAGTTACCCAAGAAATAAAATAGGCTTTTGTGAGTTTGTCTTGGAACCTTCTTACTGAGGCCTACAGTAAATAGACTTACCTGTTGAGCAATGGCAAAAATAAGAGAGCTAAATATGAATATTTTAAAAATTAAAAATTTAGACTAAATATGCAAATAAGACAAACATAAAAATTATGTCCTAAACAACAGATAGAAGAAAACAAAAAACACAAGGGGAAAAAATGAAGGATAGCTACAGTAGCTTTCTATATGCTCATAAGAGAGAAAAAATAAATAAAACTTGGACATTAACCAAAGGATGGGCTCATGAAATGCAATAGAAAGTTTTAGATAGAATGTTATTTATGATTAAAATATTTGACTCTTGATAACATAGATACCTTCACTTTTAATATGGCAGACAGACCATAATTTATTCAAACACACCACCTGCCTAAAAGAGAAGTGAAAATTTCAAAAACAAATGTTCTTCTATGGGGAAATAAACTATCCTAAGACTCAAAGTATTCCAGTAAAATGTTTGTAAGAAAAATCTGAAGCTTAGAATTTTAAAATAAACAAGCAAACAAACAAAAACTACTGAACTACTCGAGAAAAACCACCGTGAGTGAAAACCAAGTTTATGTCATCCACGGACAGTCATCATAGACCTACCAAGCTTTAAATATCAGAATTATCAGACACCCTATAAATGACTCTGCTTAAATTGTTCAGATCCTTGTTAAAAGTCTTTGAAACCTCTAAAAGAAAGTAGAAACTAGCATTTTTTTTTCTTTTTTTTGGAGAGGTTTTTGCTGTAGGACGCATGCACTCGCCAGACACAGAGAGAGACAGAGAGGCAGAAAGTGAGAAATCACCCCCCAGGGGGTATGACCATGCGGCAATCCCTTTGCCTCTGTTCTCCTCTCAGGATCTTGGGCACGCACGCACACGTGCCCGGCATGAGTTTAAGCCACTGAATCCAGGACTCGAACTGCGGTCGACTATGTGGGAGTTCAGTGACATAGCCATTATGCTGACTGCTGGTCCCAGAAAACTAGCATTTTTTAAAACAAAATGAATAGAAATTGAAATATAATCAAAAATAGAAATTGAGTGTATGGGCGTGCAACGAAGAGATACCAGGTGACTGGCTAACTCTGTGGTTCTAGTCCCAGACCTCACTTGAGAAATAAGCCAGGTACCTCGGCATGTGTCCCCGAATCCTGAAAGGTGGGAGAAATGGAGGAGGGTGCTTTCTCCTTTCTCTCTCGTGTTTGCTCTCTTTCTCACTGGTGAGAACACGTGCCCTAAAGGCAAATTAAAAACAAACAAATAAACAGAGTACAGTAGTAGTGATGAAGACCTAAAAAGGAAAATATATTAATTAAGCAACATGATGAATAGAGTGAGATAGTGTAGTTATAGTTCTAAAAGGAGAGCAAAATGAATGGGCACAGGCAACACTGAAGAGTTCAGGGGGACAATTTTCCAGATAAGAAGAACCCAAGTCATAGATCCAGGAAGCTCAATGAATCCCAAACAAGATAAATAGAAGAAACAGGCATGTGAGCATGACAGTGAAACTAAACAACCACAGAATCAATAGAAAAGTTTAAAAGTAATCTGAGGGGGGGAAATCTTTGAAAGAAGCAATAGTAAAACAGATGGCTTGATTCTAAACAGCAATGATAGAAGCCAGGGTAGTGAGAAAAACAAAACAAAACAGAACAAAACAAAAAACTCAGCCTAAAAATATGTCTCCCCAAAATTATTTTCAGACAACCAGAGTTTATCGTTATTTTAGACAATATGGAAGAATATTTTTTGGGCAGAAGGGAAGTCATCCCAGAAACAGAATGTATAAATTAAATTATATTAAAAAAAAAAAAGGAATGAAGCAACAAGGAATTGGTAAATCTGTGAATAAATCTTAGCAATTGCGACCTGTATGCAACATTAATTATGTGTACAGTTAAAAAGAAAGAGAGAAGACCAGCAGATGGTATAAAGGTTACATTGTTGGACTCCCATGTAGTCAACAGAGGTTGTGGCTTAAAACTCATGCTGGACATGTGTGCATGTACACTCCAAAATCCTGAGAAGAGAATGGAGGAAAAGGGATTGAAGTGTGGCCATCCCTACTGTGGAGTTATTTCTCACTTTCTGTCTCTCCAGTGAGCAAATGGGCCCTAAAAAAAAAAAAAAAAATCAGCAGCAGCAAGAAAGAGAAAATTGTAGCAAGTGACATTGCTACAGTAAGTGATGTTAATGTTAGTTTTTGAAGATCCTTTGTTGCAGAGGAATAACTTGTTCAGAGTTAATCGCTTGGTATTGATTAAGGTACATGTTGTCACCAAGGTATATTTCCTAACGTTTTAAATACTTAGATATTTTATATTGAAAAATTATGTTAAATCTTTTATTCAACACACAAATTTTGCAATAAGTGCTAGGGAACTTACAAATGTGTGGTTACATCCCTATAGCTACATTCTCTTATCTAGGAACATTTGTTTAATTCTGAAGAGTAAATGCACAGAAGAAAAATTTCCTTGTATGTGCAGCATATATTTTCCTTAAAATTATGTGCATCCAAAATTTAGAAACTACCTTTGAAGAATGACTAGACATTTAAAAAAGTGATCTGCAATTATTCTTTTACTCTTCTACTATTGTTGGTTAGAAATTATGAGCTTATATGCAATTATAAGCAAAGCCTTAGAAGCATGTGAATGCATATAAATTTTTTCAAAATAACTGAAAGGAACATTTTTCTTTATATAAAATTCTAATAATAGCCTGTGAACATATACTACATATTCATCTCTATTCGTTTTATCATAATGCTAAAATAATGAATTTGCTCAAAATGCCTATATCATTAGAAATTAATGTTGGCTATACTGTATCCTGCTAATAAAAATGTAAAAGAGAAAAATCATTCTTTTTGAAATTAAAATTGGTAATAGCTTCTTATACCTTCTGATGGTGGTACATAGATCATGTCTACAAAAAATACTTTTATTGCCTTCCTCCACAGATTACAGTTAGTAAAAAAAGTATATATGTATATATATACTTGAGATCTTAAATAAATGACCATCCCTGAAGGGATCCTGTGCATAATGGCAGATGTTGGCTATTGGGGGCAGCAGGAACTCCTTCATGTAAGGGAGGGATAGTGAGAGAGAGAGAGAGAGAGAGAGAGAGAGCGAGCGAGTGAGCAACGAGAGAGCGAGTGTGAGTTGTGCTGCTTGGTAAAAGCCAGCCTTTCCCCCCAATTTTTCACTTCTTTTTGTCTTTCCTCCTTTGCTTTTTCCTTTAACAGTCTGGGCTTGTAGAATAATTGAGAAGAGGAAGGAGAAGAGGAGGTGGCGAAGGAGGAGTAGAACATGGGGAAATACGAGAGGCTGAGAACTCAGTTGACAAAAAGATTGGAGATATTTATATAAACAAGGAAGGCTAAATACATGATGTGCTCTATCTTTCCATATAGCTAATCTTTAATAAAGTGTACTAAATGCAGAGGCTTTGTATGTGTTTTTCATTTTCATCTGGGTGGAAATCCAAAGATCGAAACCGTGTGTCCTGTTACTTTGTCTCAGGATGTACTAGACAATGGCATTGAACCAACTGAAAGGAGGACATCTATCTGAATGAAGGCAAAGGAAAATATAAGTTGTCCTTAACTCTTAACAATCTTCAGGTAGATTTGAAAGGATAAACAGCTCCCACAGACCTTTCTATTTAGAAATCAGAAAACAGCAGCCATGTGCTATTATCTGTGATATATTAATTAAGCATAATTAGGTGACTAACTCCTAACCAGATGTTATGTTATATAAATTAATGTTGTAGTTACTGTTTTACTTTGTCATTTTAGATTTCTAAGCACAGAGTAAATTAATCAAATTAGAGGAAATGTGTTTGCCTTCATGTAATATCCTGTTCTGTGTATCAATTGTTTATACCCTTTGGGTGGGTAAATTTTATTTACATAGTCTATGGGCAGAAAAATGTACAAAGTATCAGTTGATGCATTTTCTCAAAGTGAACACAGAGTGAAGTCATTGTCTAGATTAATAGCACATTATCAGTGCCCAGGGCCTACCATTATGCTGCAGCTCACCTGCTACCCCAGTGTAGTTTTGGAACTTTATATGCGTGGAATCACATAGTACTTTTACGATTTTTGAGTTACTTCCTTCAAAAAACACTATTCTTTTTTTCCTCAAAACCATCCATGTGTTTGCAAGTGTCAATAATTCATCAAATTGCACTTTTTTTCTTTAACTTCCATTCGGAGTCCTACTTTGAATTAGTTCCCTGACATGGTCTGCTACATCCTGAGACAAAGATAATGCTATTGCAGGGATATACAGTTTATTGGTTCTGCTTTTGTTGGACAATTTAGCTTACTTCCAGTTGTTGGCTGTTACAAATTATACTATTATGCATACATTTGCATACATTTGGTGAATGCTTGTGAATTTGATACAACCAGAAGTGGAATTGCTGTGTCACATGATACACATTTTTTCAGTCTTAGTTAATGTCAAGGGGATGAAGAAAGAAGTAAAGCATTTAAGGGATCCAAAATGGAAAGAAACCTGTTGATTATAATGTATATGGTGATATCTTTGACTGAATCAATATTCATGATGGGAGAATTCATTTGGTATGCTGTAATAATACACAGTGATTGAATGTAAAATTTAAAAAATAAAATAAATACAGAAATAAATTTTATCAAAAAATATATTTACATTACCTTTAAACCACTAGAAGCAATGAGGTGTGACTCATTAAGCATGTATGTTCAAGTCAAATTGGCAGTTAGTTCAGATTATGATACTTTTTTTCTTTTTTTCCAATTTTGGCAGAAGGCAGCAGCATGTATGCTCACTGGGGAGAGAAAAAGAGAGGGAGAAAGTGAGAAAGCATGCTCTATATGGGGGAATGGTCATGTCTAAATCCCTTTGCCTCTATTTTTTTCCTGGACTTTGGGCACACATATACATACACCCAGTGTGTTCTTCAAACCACCTGTTCTGGGATTTGAACTGTTCATTCAGCTAGGTGGGATCCAGATGCCCTCCCTAACTGCCACACCACCAGCTGATCCAGCATACTACTTTTTTTTTTTTTTTCTGCTATAGGGTGCATGTACTTGCCGGAGAGACAGAAAGAGGCAGAGAGACAAAAAAGCAATAGATCATCCTCCATGGGGGATGGCCACGCTGCAATCCTTTCTCCTCCTTTCTCCTCCTGGGATCTTGGGTACACAGGCACATGCAACTGGTATGAGTTTGAAGCCACTAAGTACAGGATTCGAATCATGGTCGGCCATATGAAAGTCCAGTGACATAACCGCTATGCCATCTTCTGTCCCAAATACTTTTTAAATTCAGTAATCTTAAACACATTACTTAAATTCTTGGATCTTCAGTTTGTTTATCTGTACAATGCATATATAATATACTATAATACTAACTGAAAGCACATAAATGTATTGCTGGAGACATACTAATTTATTTCCTCCTTTACCTGGAAGTTATCAGATTTAAAACATTTAATTATAGGTGAATCCAAATGAATTCCTGTCAGGGCAGTCAGAATCATCTGGAGGTCTCTGCTCTTATTCATATTGTCTCTTGCCACATGTCCACTGGTGCTTCATGAGTGTGATGTACACAGTTGGCATAGTAACTAATACTCATGGAGTAAGAATTTACTGAGCAGCAGCTATGTTCAGCATTGCTATGTGCTACATGAATAACATAGAATAAGACCAACCTTGATTTCCTATTCCTAGAAGCACTGAAAAAAATTGCAAGGGCCCAAATATATTTTAACTCCAGAACAAATTAGAATCTGATTACATTATAAAGGCAGTGACATCCTCTGCTCTATTTTCCACTTGGGTGCCATTATTAAACTGCAAAATTTAAACTTGTGAACATAGACACTTTGAGAGAAAGTATTTGTTAATTTTAGCAGCTAGCATAAACAAATTTGCAGGATACTTTTTAAGATAATATTTTCAGGGACCAGCAGATGATGTAATGGTTACATCACTGACTCCCATGTAGATGACCGTGGCTTGAGTCCCGGACCAGGTGGCTTGACACTCATGCCAGGCACATGTGCGTATAAGCTTAAAATCCCAAGAGGAGACTAGAGGAGAAAGGATTGCAGCATGCCAATTCCCCTGGGAAAGGATTCCCTACTTTCTGTCTCTCTGCCTCTGTCTCTCCTATAAAAAAAATCTCCCTCAAAAAAAAAAGTTAATATTTTGAAAAATAATTTTGTGGATTTTAGTTTTGGTGAATTTTTCTACTGACTTCTAGTAAGTACAGATGCAATAATTTACAAGAAAAAGGAAGGTAATATTGACATTAATAAAGGGGACTCTTCATTGAGGCAATAATTCTAGGCTGGATAATACTCTGTTAATCACTGTTCAGTATTAGAGAATAAATGATCAAGACCACAACAAATCAGTTTGTAAATAAGTCTTGCAAATATATTAACAATGAGCAATATTTTCCCAGTAAGAAATAAAATTTAATGCATGGTGGTTAAGGTGTCTGGATCTCACATGGCCAACAGTGTGGTTTGAGTCCTAGACACAGAGACTTGAAAAACACATCTGACATGTGTGCATGTAAGACTCCAATGTTTTTTCTTTTAAATGAAGAAAACAACAAAAATATATTTTTATTTTCAAACATAAGCCTCAAATATTGAAAGGATAAATGGAAGAGGAATTATGACATGATCATCCCCATGGAGTGTGTTTTCTCATTTTCTCTCACTCTCTTTTTCACTCTTGTAAGCATGCATAGTCTCTAGCAAATTTTTAAATAAATAAAGGGAAAAAATATCGATCATATAATACTTACCTTGATCATAAGGTAAGTATTATATTATATGAAACTGTATATATGGTATGTATATTATGTGTCAGATATTAGCATGGCACTGAGAATTCAAAGACATAGTGGTGTAATTTTTGATAGCAAGGAATTTGGAGATTTTGGGGAAATACAGACCCATCCAATAATGGAAAGATTTCCAAACTGTAATATTATAGAGCAAATGGGACTAATATTTTTATGTGAGGACTGGAGAGATTCCAGAATAATATCAGCAAAGGTAGAATTGTAGTAGAAATTACTGTGTGAGCTTTCAAATACAGCAGAGGTTAGTAGGCTTTGAACCGTGATTGTGAATGTGCTATGCCTATGCAAAGACATAGATGCATTAAATAAATGATCTCTGTATGAGCAGCTTGTTCACTCTTGCCCACTTCCATTCTAATTCACAGCCCAGTGTCTTGGGTGTTCATTTCAAATCTATCAGATCATGTAGATCATTTTGATCTCATACAACTTATCCTCCATGGCTTTGATATTATTCAGAGAATAACTCAAAGTTCTCAACAAGACTGGTGATGCCCCAGAATACCTCATCTGCTCTCCCAATTTGTTCACTTTGCTTCAGCTAGCTAGTCTAGATTCCTTCCTCAAAAGTCAGGCAAGCTCTCCTATTGCATCTTTGCATTTGCATTTGCGTTTGCATTTCTCTTTGCCTAAACTCCCTCCCCCCACCCCAGCTCTCTCAATGGCCTGTTTGCTCTGTTCCTGCTGGCATTTTTTCGGATTTCAACTTTTTATTGAAACGTTTCCTGACCACTCTATTAAACAGTTCAACCCTTCTTTAGTCCCCCTTACTCCTGTCTATTCCACCCTTCCACACTTACTTTTATCCACACACTAATCAACTTCACATATTTATTATCTATTCGTTTCTTTATTACACATCTCCTCTACCTCACTTTCACCCTTAGTAGAGTGAGTTCTAGCTCCTTGTTAACTGAGTGTGAGTGTGTTTGTGTGTGAGCACAGGCATGCATGCACATGGCTTTTGGCCCTACTGTTTATTTCTTTTCAAAACAACTTTCTCTGTTCATTGTTCTTTGTCTGATTTTCATCTTTTTTGTTTTATGTTTAAACTTAAATGTCATCTCCTCAGGGAATGATTCCTTTTTCATTCTATAGAGAGTAGTTATACATTCCACCTTTTCTTCTATGTCATATTTCCATATATTTCTTTTGTATAGCTGTTTTATATGATATAGTAAGTCTGTTCATTTAGTTGTTGAGTAGGTTGTCTTAAGTGAAATATATTTCAATGAGGAGAGAAACCTCATTTTAAAAATGAAAATATGAATAAGATACAATGAGTGAGTAGACTGTGGCTAGACATTAGCTTTTTCTTTTAATTTCAAATGGCACATGTGCTCTCTAGTGATAGGGTGGAGAGTGAAGAAAGCACACCCCGACCGGTGGGTGTTCTTTCCACAATCCTTTCACCCTCTATTTCTCCAACCTGTAGGGATGAGACATGTGCGCACATGAACCTGGTGTGTATTTTAAGTTACTAGGACTCAAA